AGGACTTTATTAATTACAACTAAAATTTTCAACACCAAATTTCAAACACCAAACATTAAATCTAGGCTTTTAATTAGTACTACAATTCTGTGGGGTAAATACAATAATTTCCTCCATTTGTGAACGGGAGCTGGAAGGAGGGAGCTCAGAGAGGATAAGTATCTCACCAAGGTCACACAGTCATAAAGTGGCATAGCTGGGATGTACCCAGGTTGGACACCAAAGCCTGTCTCTGAAACCCTGCACCACACTTGCTCCCTGGGAACGAGGGTTTAGAAAACTGAGAGTCCACACGACAGGAGAGTTTTTTGTCCTTCCCAGGCCATGCTTACATGGCCCGCAGGTACACAATAGCCTCTAGGAAACCAGGCCTATCAAGCCTGGTCCCATCTGACAGCTGCCCAGAACCAAAGAGAAAACAGGTTTATAGCATCACAGTCCATTTGAAACTCATGCAGCATAATTTTTTTCAAAGTACATATTTTATTTACATAGAGTAGTGCAAGTTGAACACGAAAAATAGTTTGTAATCCAATTTAAACAGCCATCGTGTGCTGGCTGACCTGGCCTGACATGTGCACCCTGTCCTGACCGTGGGTGGTAGCAGGTGTGACTGGCCTTTGTAAGGGAAATGATGCAACATTTCCATGATTTGGAAGCAATCTAAATTAGCTGATGGGATAATTTTTTTTTTTTTTTCCAACAATGTAATCCCTGAAGCACAGCAACTTCTCCCTTCCTTACAGGCCAAGTCATAGGTATATAGCAAGTTTCTGAGTTCTGGCTGTGCTTCTGGCCCAAGTCCTACCAGCCCCAGGGTTTTCCATGGCAACAAAATACTCCCTTCAGCCCCTAATTTTTCTTTCACTCCCACTTTCTCCCTACTTCCCAAGTATCCCTGCAATACACTAGGCCAAGTGGAGCAGGGCAGGGGCTGCTGAAGTCTTCCTTTGGGAGGACTGATTAAAGCATCCCAGGATTTTCTCCACCACTGTCCAACTTCCTAGTCCCAATTTAATAGAAATATTGCTTGTCCCCTAGAACCATGCTAGGTAAGGCTGGCAGTTCCTCCAACCCTTAGTCAATTCTTAGATCTCAGGCACCTAAGAGTTAAATCCCCCACCCCATATTATTAATAAGTAATCAGCCTATGGCGACCGCAACATCACCTGGGGTAGAGAAACTCTTTGGGCCCATCTCATCTTTCTCCTCGATTTACACCATGAGCAGAGAACAGGGCCCTTGTCTCCCCATTTACCCCTGTTTGACTGGACCTATTTCACCCTCAGTCCGTGACTCTCAGGGCTCTTCCCTGGGGGATGAAGCTGAAATACATTCCATGGCTGGTGGGAGGGGAGAGTCAGACAGCTTCCTCAGAGAGGACATGAATGGCCAGGGAACCTGGCATTCACACTGTAGACTGTGGCACTTGCTGGACTCAGGCTTTATAAAATAAACAACTCTGCCCCTTTGCTGCCCCTCAGGCTCTGCTCACACACTTGCACAGTCCCATCTTCCCAGAGCGATCCTCGCTCTTGAGCCATCTATTTGCTGTCTGTCTCACTCACCAGGGATGGGCAAATGCCGTTCTGTAAGTGATCCCCACGGAATCAGACTCCAGCTTAGAATCTGTCTGCCCTTTCGTCCTCACCAGGTGTTTCATAAGCTCTGGAGGCAGAGAAGAGTTGGGGTCTTGCTGAATAAATATGCGCTCCAAGAAGTCCACAAACTCCTCTACACCACTGCCAGTGCCCCCAGGGTTCAGCCCTGAGGCCACAAGGGCAGCACCACGGCAACAAGGCAGAGACCACCACTGCCACATGAGAGCAAATGATGTGGACACGGGGACCCCGGTAACATGTCCTCTGTGGCAGCAATTCAGAAGGTCTCTTGGGCAGAAGTGGGAGAAAAGAATAAAATGGCCAAGTAGGGCTAGAAAAAGTCTTCCTACAATAAAATCCATGCTTGGGCGTCTCTAGGGAGCAGCACTGTAAAAGTGCTGTTGGTGCAGCAGCTTGCCAAGGCCCACTCGGAGCAGAGACGAAATTCAGGGCAGACCTTTCACTCATGTTGACCAGAACCAGCACAGGCCTCGTGCTCCTGCTGGCTGTGCCACAGGGTGAGGGTACAGCCGGCAGCATATCCCACTGCTCTGTCTGCTCTTGGCAAAGTGAGTTGTGAGTCTGGTGATTCTGAAGAAAACGAGTGTCCTGCCACGATCTGGGTCTCCACCAGCAACCTGAGAAAGGGTGCCTCAGTACTTGAAAGGATCTGGAAGTTGGGTTTAAAGCTTATAGCTTTCTTTATTCAGAAGACTTTTTAAAAAGAAAAATCACTTTCCCCTACAGGTCCTCGGCAATTAATTTTTAAATTTATTTTGTTTTTTTGGCTGGAAGAAGTTTTGATAACGCTGCGACTCGCACCCACCCATACGCATTCTTATCTGCCGGGCTTGGCCTCCATGCCCTGTAAGCAGGGCTGCTCCACTCTTTCAATGGGTTTTATCTGGTGCCAAGGGGAGATTCGGTGCCATCTCATCACTTGCTGATCAAGAGCAATCCCGGTCCGACAGCTCACAGAACTGAAAACCCTTAAGAAGACAGAGACGGCTTTGGCAGAAGCAGTGAGGGCCTCACAGGGAGGCAAAGTCTTAAAGGTTTGAGCACCATCTTCTGGTCAGTTATTGGCCTCTGAAAACTTCATTTACTTCAGAATGGGATGATCCCTGAGCCGACAAGCTCAAGTGATTTGCACAAGAGCACACAACTGGAGGCGGGGTGAGCTGGCTCAGCTGCCTGCACAGAGCAGAATGGACGCCAGCAGACACACTGGCCAGTGTTAAGGTCCCACCTTCTGCCCTTCCTGCAACGTGTGATGGCGACAGAAGTAGCAACGATGACCCAGATCGACCCCTCGCCTGCTGGTACCTGGTGATGTGAAATGTACTTAGAAAGAAGGGGTGGCCTTGTCTTCTGCCAGCCTGTATTTTGAGCGTGAGTGATCAAACTGGGCAGTACCTTCCGCAGGGGGCCAACCGCACAAGGTGGCAGGGAGCCGTGCTGGGTGTGTAAACACTGCCCTAGCAGACTTCAACCTTCTGCCATCAGGGAAAGGAAGATAAATGCTAGTCATTCCCTCCATCTAATTGCACTTCATAATGGATTCCATAAACCATTAATTATCAGATTATATTTTAGGAACTGAAGATGAAAAAGTTTTGTAAAATTCAGACTCCAAAGGATCAGTGACCTGCAGTCATAGTGGCAGCTGGAAAAGAGCTCAGACAACAGGCTACTCACAGGCAGGGAAGGCCCTGGCAGGAGGAAGACTCAGGGGCCACCATGGGCGCTACTCCACCTGGCGCTGGTTCACTGCTACGTTACATGTATCACGTGCTCCTCAGGGACAGGACGAGGCCTCCAGGTTGGGTAGAAGCTTTAGGCTTTGATTAGGGAAAGGGGATTGAGGACACCACAGAAAAGCTATGGGAACCAGCCTCAGGTGCAGAATACCATGAAGAGTTTCCTGGAAAGGCAGAGATGGTTTGCAGCTAGATGGCCTCACACTGAACACTCCCAGAAGAAACACTCCAAAGGCTTTGTTTTGGGAATGGCTGACTATACTGACAAGGTGGGACTCAGCATGGAAATGAAGCCTTCCTGTGTCAGCATGCTGCTACCTGTCCTACTGCCACTGTGAGAGGAGGCTGGAAGGATGACAGACGTGAGGAAGGGGCTGAGTGTGCTCAAGGCTGGGAATCCGCAGATGGTCTGATGGTGCTTTTCTCTCTTTCTTTTTTTTTTTGCGGTACGTGGGCCTCTCACTGTTGTGGCCTCTCCCGTTGCGGAGCACAGGCTCCGGATGAACAGGCTCAGTGGCCATGGCTCACGGGCCCAGCCACTCCGCGGCATGTGGGACCTTCCCGGACCGGGGCACGAACCCGCGTCCCCTGCATCGGCAGGCGGACTCTCAACCACTGTGCCACCAGGGAAGCCCCCTATTTTCTCTCATTTTTAAATGGCCAGAAGGCACTGGCAGCACCTGCAGCCCCACTCTGTGGGCCACTGTCCTGCACTGAACTACTGCTCTGCATGCTGAGGGCTGCCAGCACATCACACTGCTCTGGTTACTCTGGTCACCAGCTCTTATCCCACTGCTTTTCCAGGCTCTATTTCAGAAGCTATACTCCACTTGGGAATGGAAAGTGTCAGAGAGGCCACAGCAGCAGGCCTGTGAGGAACAGGCCTGCCTGCTACGGAGGGCGGTCGCGTTGGTGCTGATGACTCAGACTTGGTTTTATGAGAACCATGATGCTTCTGTCCGTTTCCCAAGTGAGACCACTTAGGTTGGTGCTAAGCTAAGATGCTCAATACTCAGGACATCGAGAGAGGAAGGGCAAAAGGCAAGTGTGGAGCATTCTCTCTACTGCAAACGTAGGACCCTCCACGATGAGCAGCCACTCACTTGGCCTCCCCACAGATTAGGGTCACGGTACCGTCTAGCAAGTCCTCCACGGTCACTGCCACAAGCTCAGAGCTGGCCTGGGATGTCTGTGAATCTGGCAATGTCACAAACACCTGTGAACCAGCAAGCTGGGTCTCCTCCAAAGTGATCACCTGCTCCGTCTGGGCCACCGGCTCTGGGGTTTGGATCACCTGAAAGGGAAAGACCATGAGGCTGCTCTGGGCAGTGTCCACAGTTGGCTCCCCAGAATTTACATGGTTTTCATCTCACGCTGTAATGATGATATTTATGTTTTCACCAGAGGAGAGCAGTTACATGTGCTTAATGGGAAGAGGCAAGTCTAACACACCAGTGATGCAAAAGAGAAGGCAGGCAAACAATTTAAGTAACTCTGTGTGCCAAATTGCTATACTTTAGCTCCGTATGCCACCTCAGGGTGCCTGGACTCTGATTACACACCAGTGAACGCGGGCTCAGTTTCTCACACTGGGTTTTCCTGTCTTGAGGATTACACTGCAGAAGTAAGTGCTGTGTGAAAGGAATGCTACTGAATCAAAGTGGTTCGTGTCATGCTTGAACCATGGAAATGGGAGTGGTTTACCAGAAGCCTCGGGTTGCCAAAGGTGGCATGTCTGCACCTTGATCAGGCTAAGAGCCTTACTTGGAGGCTACGTGGCTACAGAGCTAATGGCTACAGGAAGACGAACAGGTAGACAAAATGTGGCTTCTGTCAGCTCCCTCACGCAGCTCACCAGGCTGGAGGGCACTGGCTTCTCTCCTCCACAGGCCACACACGCCCCTTCCAAATCTGCAGCATCTGTTAAAGATGACTTTCCCATCTCAGGGAGAACTAGTCTGGTTAAGTACACCCAGTTCTTGCCTGAACCTCCGAGTTGATGTTTCTGAGCCATGGAGCTCGGAACAGCTGGATGTTTTCAATACAGAGCGCCCGCAGAGGGCACAGCAACCCTGGGTCTTGAGAGCTGCCGAGAGCAGAAAGTGCTTTCCACTAGACCTGAGTGGGCAGAAATGGAGACGCCAAGCTCAGCCATGTCTGTGCTGTAGGAGTGAAGAGACCAATCGTGATGTTCAATAAAAAAATCACCTAGGACAGCAGTTTTCAAACTGTTTTTCCTTCTTTTTCTTTTAGCAATCGAATCTTTTTTTCGCCCCAAAGGACATCTTACCCAGAATCCTAATATATAAAAACGGTAATAGCAGCGCTGTTCTCATTGAAATGGCAGCAGGATTGGCACCCAGAGGCCTGGCCGCCTGCCTTGCCCTCTGCTCCCCACAGAGGCCTGTAAGAACACGGCTATAAGGGGCTGCTTTAAGGGACAGGATGGGGGGCGGCCCAGCCAGCTCACAGTTCCTCTCCCGTCCATTCACAAATTACTGTCAATCAACAGAATGGAGTTTCTTTTCCTTTCCTGCTCACCCTCTCTGGAGAAGACGGGAAGGCAGTAATAGAACTAGAGACACAAAGAGGGGCTGGAGCAAGCGTAGCCTTGAAATATCAGAAGAGGGGGGCTTTATACCCAGGTAAAAGTGAGAAGCCCAGACGTTCAAATGTGCCCTGTGCCCAGCCCAGAGGAGTTACCAAAGCATTTCAGCTGAAGGTGGTCTCAACAAAGAGCTCATCTACCCTCCAAGGTTTCCTGCAACTCTCACCACATCCCATGGTGTTCTGCAGAAGGTGAGGGAGTGTGTGAATTGGGAGGAGAGGCCAATGTCATTCTGCTTTTGAAAATTCTTGTTCCAGCTTCCCTCTACTCAGGGGCCATTTCACATGTAGTCACCAGGAGGCTAGAATTTTCTGTTCTGTTTGGTAAGAGGTCCAGAGAGACTCTTCTGCAAGATCCTCTTGGTCATGAATGCATCACTCACGGAGCCCTTTGAGAGCCCCGGGGAGAAAGGCTAGGTGTCGTGATGGGACTGCCTCCAGAGAAGCCTCAGGGACCCCGTGTCAGCACCCTCATATCTGATGGCCCCAGAATCACCTGCACCATCTGTGAGGCGGCCGCTTGGCTTTCAGTGCCCGTCACCTTTGGGTGTTCAGACTCCAAGTGACAGTCCAGCTGGGCCTGGGAGGTGAAGAGCTCCCCGCAGAGCTCACAGGGGAAGGTGCTCTCTGACTGCTTGAAGTGCTCAGTGGTGACGTGGTGCTGCAGCGCCCCGGGAAAGCGGAAAGTGGCTGCACAGTACAGACACCGGAACGGCTGTGACCCTGGCGGAGGGGGACAGAGGGAGTGACTGAGGGAAACGAGAGGAGGGAGGGGAGAGGAAGGTGCAAGGGGGGGCGAGGAGCACAGGCAGGTCCAGAGGCAGCTCTTCAGCTCCTGTGGGGCCTGGAGCGTGTACAATTTGGGGAGCCCTCTCTAGGAAAACTGATACAAAATTACACATACAGGATTAGGGGCAGATCTTTGGAAGGGTCCCACCAAGTGCAAGCCTCCAGGGAACAGCTTCATTAGCATCAGATTCAGGCTAAATCTGCCTCTGCCAAAGTCCATTATTCATTCAACTGTAATGATGCTGACAATGCTTATTTCGTCAATTCTAAGAAGCACCTTTTAACGTCTCTGAAATGGGATCAATGGCATCTTACTACTGTTACAGGCCATGGAGGTTGGGTGTAATTGTCAACAAGTGCACTTGCATGGACATCTAAAAGGGCAGCATGAAGACTTGCAGAATGCATGTCCACAGTCTGAAAGAAAAGCCCTAAGACAGGAGCAGTGCATGTTTTAAACTCACAGGAAACAAATGGTTTAGGAGGGAGGAGGTAAGGGTTGAATGTTCAGCTACATTCCCAAAGCAGGAATCAGAAGACTAGTTTTGCTAATGCTCAAGAGACCAAAACCACCTTACCGTGCTCTCCATCACCAATGCTCTTGACGGTGGAGGGCAACACCATGTGGAATAACACTCACGCCAATAATCTGAACTGAGAGCTACTCTGGGAAGCTGAATTCTTACGTTGATCAACTTATTTCTTACGTTTCCTTTTTTTATGTATGCATACAAGAGTGCATAAAATCGACATCAAATTCCAAAGCAGCACTTAGGATAACCTGCAAACTCTAAGTGATAAGAAAGCATAGTTTAACTGGCAGCAGTTTTTCTTTCTTAACGGTTCATTAAAAATGGTGCCTCTGGGCCTCCCTGGTGGCGCAGTGGTTGAGAGTCCGCCTGCCAATGCAGGGGATACGGGTTCGTGCCCCGGTCCGGG